GGCACATAACAACAACAACATATCAAACACATACTAGGCCTTCACAAGTTTGTAACTATGATCTGGTGAAAAAGCAGAGACAGGCACCATATACTTATTTTAAAGAAGAAGAAACTCAAGCTCAGAAAGATAATTAGAATTATCTTTAATAAGTAATTAGAAGAGCTATCAAAGAATGTCAAATGACAAAGGCATTTGGCCAAGACAGATTCTCAAATCCAGACATTTATTTAAACTTAAATATTATGCTTTCTCAACTATACCCAGTGTTGTTGTTAGGTGGCATTGAACTGTTTCTGACTCACAGAGACCCTATGGATAACAGAACAAAACCTGCCAATTTCATCCCATGCTCACATTTCTTCTGTACTTAACACATATTGTTGCAGTCTCTGGTACAATCTGGCTGAGGGTTGTCCTCTCTTTCACTTGACCCTCTTGTTTCTTTAAAAAAAAATTATGTCCTACTACAGGGACTGGCCCCTCTTGATAACATGCCTAACACCTAGGAAATGAAGTCTCATCATTCTCACTCCTAAGAAGACCTGTAGCTATTCTTCTATGACAGATGCTGTTGCTGTTATAAGCCATCAAATTGGAACTCACTCATTGCTGACCCTCCAGTGGGCTCTCAGAGGCTGGAAATGGCACAGATGGAGATCACATATCTTTAACCTAAGGAGCAGCTGGTGGATTCAAACTGCCTGCCTTTCCAAGACAGATTCATTCCTTCTTTTGTCAGTTCATGGTATATTCAACGTTCCCTAACACCACAATCCAAAAGCATCAATTAACAAGTCTTCCATATTCATTGACCATGAGCATATCCTATCTGATTTAGAGATAATTTCAAGATTAGATTTGATTTACTGAATATTTATGACAGAAGGAAGACCATATGAGTCATAGGATGATATAAAGAATATTATCTATGAAGAAATCAAAAGGTCATTAGAAAGACAGGGAAGAAAATAGGTTGCTATTAAGAATATTACCCATGAAGAAAGCAAAAGGTCATTAAAAAGACAGGAAAGAAAGAAAATATAAAAACAGATGTAAAAAAATGATAAAACTTGCTCTAGAACGTAGAGAAGCTAAAGAAACAGAAAGAGCTAAGAGAGCTGGACAAATTTTGAGCACAGTTGGTGAAGACAGAGTATTATAAGGAAATGTACAAAGACCTAGAGCTGGAAAATAAAAAGGGAAGAACATGCTCAGCATTTATCAAGTTGAAAGAACTGAAGAAGAAATACAAGCATAGAGTTGTAATACTGAACAAAATACCATTGTTGTTGTTATGAACCGCCAAGTCAAATACGATTCATTGTGAACCTATGAATAACAGATCAGAGTCTTGGTCTGTCCTGTGCCGTCCTCACCATCTCTGGTACATTTGAGCCTATGGCTGCAGACCATATGTCAGTTCATCTCATTGAGGGTTGTCTTCTCCTTTGCTGACCCCCCGACCTTCCCAAGTATGATGTCCCCCTCCAAGGAATAGGCCCTTCTAAAAACATGTCCAAAGTATGTGAGATGAAGCTTCACTATTCTCATCTCTAAGGAACATCTGACTGTGCTTTTCCCAAGACATAGCTATTATTTTGGCAGTCCATGGAATGTTCAGTATTCTTCTCCAACACCACAACTCAAATGCATCATCAATTCTTCTGTCATTCTTATTCACTGTCCAGCTCCTAGATGCATAGCAGGTGATTAGAAAAACTATGGCTTGAATCAGGTACATCTTAGTCTTTAAACTGCTATCACTGCTCTTCAGGACTTTGGAGAGGTTTCTCTAAACTTCCCTAGAGCTACACGTCTCCTGATCTCCAGCCGGTACCAAGAGTGTTGACTGTAGGTCCAAGTAAGATCCCTGGTGGCTCGTCACGTCCTGTACTGTCAAGCTGGAATTGACCTGTAGCTGACCTTCCAGCAGGTTTTCAAGGGTAGTCAATCACACGTAAGGGGACTGCCCATCTTTCTCCCATGGAACAGCTGATAAATTCAAACCATGCGTCTTTGAGTTGGCAGTGTAGCTTCTTACTCCTAGGCCATCAAAGCTCTGGTGGCCTAGTGATATGGAAAGCAGAAAGTCCTCACAACTGGACCAATAAACAACATTGGGATAAATGGAGAAAGTACTGAGTTGTCAAGGATTTTATTTGGAGCCTTAACAGTCAGTAGAAGCAGCAGCCAAGAAATGAAACAACAGACACACTGGGCCGACCTGCTGTCAAGGACCTCTTGAAAGTGTTAAAGACTTTACAGACTCTAGCCATGGTGGTGTTTTCCAATGCGATACCCAGTAGAGAGCTCAATTTGTTGTTATTTTCACAGACAAGATTCTACATTTAAAAGCTAGTAAGGCTGTAAAGATTTGTCTGCAAGTCAATTTTGTATTTGCTGGAGCTAATTATTTGTTTACTACTTCTTAGCAAGAGTTCTTTAAAGCAACACTGGTGGCTCAGTGGTTAAGCACTTGGCTGGTAACCAATTGGAGGAAAAGGCTTGATGCTAT